GAGGCTCTACGATCGAAGGCTGAGGAAACTTTGGCAGTATCGATGATTATAGATAGCAGCAGACTTGCGTAGTGTTGTATGGATTGTACGGCAGCTGCTTGGTTTGGTTAACTCCCCCTCTTCCCCCAATTATTAAAGTTAATTGGACAGTGAAGCTAAACTTGATACAGCTGTAATAGGAAATAAACTCCTGAAAACCATCTTGAGTATTACCGTAAATGATAGTTGTGGTGAAATAAACATCGAGACGTTGACCCTCAACTTGAAATGTAGCAGAAAAACAGTATGAAAATCTAAACTTGGTATAATGCGATAAAACGGCAAAACAAATAAAAAACTACTTAAACTTAAACATAGAAAATTTAGAGTCTCTAAGAGGTACGACTTGTAAAGAAAAAGAAAGAGATCACATTGTAGGAAAAAAACTTGGAAAAGATTTGGAACACTAAACAGTTAAAGTGGCATTAAAGAAATACTCAGTCGGCTGCCGCTGACTTCCTATCATACACGACTTCGATCAGCCAAAAGCAAGTCATGTATCATGCCTTGTAGATCCCTGTCTTTTTGTATAAATTTTCGACACTTCTGAAAAAAAAAGAGCGCTGACCGAAAAATTCTTAGATCGGCATAATATGCTGCGATTATGTTTTGAATGTCGAATAGGATTAACTCAAAAGAACAAAGTCTTAAAAATAATATAGGTGCTAAGATGGTACAAACTAAAAAAATATAGAATGCATTGATATGATTTTATTAGAAATATCGTTAATTAGAAATATTATTAGACATAGAGGTGTAAATAAGTCATGAAAACAAGGCTACAACTCGATCGTTGTTTCTTTGCTCCTGTTTGTAGCTTGAAATTTACTAGGAAATCTCGCTGGCTTTCAAGACTTTTATATTAAAAATTCTATTTTTCTTGCTTGATGTCTTTTTACACGAAAGACAAAGTAAGTAAAAATTCTTGGCTCTTACCAGAACGTTGTGCTATGATTATAAAAACGAAAAGTAAAAACGAAATGAGAAGAATAAATTTTGACATCAACAAAAAAATATGCCAACAGCGTCATCAGAAATAAAAATAAGAAGAAACGAAACAAGAAGTAGAGCACTAGCAAACGATTATGCCAATTTTTTTACTGAGCTACAAAACATACAGAACCACTTGGCAACCGCATCAAGTTAGTCTAAAAGAGAAGTCTTATGAAACAAAGAACAATTTGCATTAGGTATTAGTCTCGGGTCAAAAAAATGCGTTTGAGCAACAACAAAATTTCTTAAT